CAGCATCTGCTTGAAGGTACTTCTCAGAACTTCTTCTGATCTGAAAGAAATTCAGACTCCATTGTCATTGCTATTGTGAAATAAGATCTTGCTAATTAGCCCAATGTGTCCTAGAACTGGCTATCCCATATAGAAATTAGCCTCAAACGACCCTTCTACCTCATTCTTCAGAGTAATGGGGTTACACACAGGTGCCAGTTTTTTAATTCTACAATCTCCCTGATCCCATATCTTTTCATTTGCTTTTTTCTACTTTGTGGAGACAGCTTTCTTCCTTCCACGTGAACAGGCATAGCTTTGCTGCATCCTATGTGTTTTAATACTCATGCAATTGAAAACACATTATGATTTCCTTTGTGATTCCTTGTTTTACTTACAGGGTATCTAAGACAATGTTATTACATTTTTTAATCATGTTACAATCATATTTGTTGTTTCCTAAGACCTTGAAGTCACTTACATCAAGTATTTGCTGAGTTTATATCACTATTGTTTTTAAACAATTGGGGGAAGGTGCTATAGGATTACTCATACATCTTTATGTACATTTTGAAATAAAAACACATTCTGAAACCTAGCACTTGGTGCACAAACATGAGGACCCAAGTTCAAATCCGTACAATCATGTAAAGACTAAGCATAGTAGCTCCTGCCTGTAAACCCAGTGTATCTATGGCAAGATGGGATGTGTACAGACAAGAGAGTCTCCAAAAGCTATCAAGTCTGCTAGCCTGCAGTACATAACAGCAGACAACAAAATCACCTGGTCTCAAATGAAGTGGAAGGTAAGGATCAGACACCCATGTATATGTTCTAGCCTCAATACGAGTGTCAGAGGACACACACACACACACACACACACACACAACCACACTCACAGATACACACAAACATGCACATAGAAACATACATCATGTGCAAACACACACACACATACACACACACACTCGAAACATACATTATGAAGTGACTTTGTTCACTCAGGGTGAACATATCTGAATACAACAAACAGCCTCCTTCCCCCCAAACATAAAGGATTCTAATTCCATTTCCAATTCCAACCATAATCCTATGGCAGTCACAATAACAGAGACAAAGATACCTGAATGCCAAAGGGTGCCTATATCTGAACCTTTAAACTTGAATTGCCAAAAACTGGCTTTTTAAATTTCAAGATAAATATCAATTTTCCATATATTGATAATATCCATTTAATATTTTGTGTCCTACAAACTTCCAGAGACAGTGTAAACATATTGCTACTGCATACATAAAATGGAAAGAGGGAATTGTTAAAAACAGAGACTAGTCAGGATTATTTGGGTGACTCTAAAGTAGAAAAGATACACAGATCTCTGAAGCATTGGCTCTAGTAACTATTAATCTTCCAATTATTTTATTTAAAAATAACTTATTGAATAACAACAGAATACTTGTAAATCATCCATTATTTATTTCTATTTTTATTTTTATGTTCTACTTCATGCCATCCCGGAATTTACTATGTACCCTAGGCTGGGCTCAAATTCATAGAAATCCTCTCATTTAAGTCTTTTGAGAGCTAGGATTATAGGCATATACTGCTTCGTCCTGCTCAGTCCCTATTATTACTGTTACTATTCTTATTGTTGACCAAATGTGGTAAAAAAAGAAAAAGAAAAATTAATGTGTGCCATTTAGCTAGAGGTCTCATTTAGCCAGAGGACTCAGGATGTGTATCCATGCTGCCTGTCTAGACACTTGCATTTATTCTCTGTCCCAACCTTCCCCCTCCCATACTGCCAAAACAGTAGTTCTAAAGCACAGGAGTATTGTGAAAGAAATTGCTTTGAGACTATTGTGTGCTTTTCAACTGTGATCCCATTGATCATGTGGGGGTGGGATCAGCAGTCCTGAGCTGTTTGGAATGAAAGACACATGGGCCAGCTGCTTTTTCTATCCACCCCTATAGTTCAGTTCTGAGCCAGTCTCCTGTATCTTGAGCAATTGTCAAGCTGTCTACAATTTCTCTCTCTGTGCAGTGCATCGACCTCCACCTTTGCCCTCCTTACTCTGTTCTATGGCAATGTGGTGCTCCATATGCCTTGCTTGGAGCTCTCCCTCCCTTTCTTCCATTTGGACCCCCTTAATGCTGAAAAGTCTGGAGACCCTGGATGTCCCAATGCCTAATTTCTTCAGGTTTTTGCTGAGAAAAAACAACTCTGCTGAACCAAATAACTGAAGAAATGATCAGAGGTATGTTCACAAGATTGTGAATACAATATTGATGCTAAAGTAAGGGAGGGGAAGAGAAAGGGAAGGACTGCTGGAGGGAGAAGAACATAGAGAAAATTCCATGAATAAACAACTTGACCAAGATACAAAATAGCTGCTAATTTCTCTCAAGAAATATATCTATCCTAACCAATATTTAGAATGGTGGGTCTAATGTGGCTTTTTAAGGTGTAAGATGTGACTTTAATTTCTAATAATATAGGTGAATTATCACGTTGACACTAGCATATATAGACCTTATGATTGGGAGGACATGCAAAATTGGCTGCCAAACAGGTGGGGATTTTAAAGCAAATATCATACAGTCTTAGCAGCAAAACCTTGAGTTTTAAAAAAAACTGAAATCCTGAGCAATTTCTGCCAGATTTCAATTATTAAGGAACAAGAGCAGAATAGTGGACTGGGAAGGGCATCAATAACTTATTCACACAAATTTCTAAGTGACAGAGGTGGTGTATAAAGAGATTATTTTTATAAAATGCAGAGGATATATCACCAGTGAAAAAATACTAGTCTTTACATATTCCATATTCTCGTGAATATAAGTTGTACAGTTTGGCACATAAGTCTCAGATCTATACTGTAAGACTTTTCATTATTAAAAAAATCAGTAGGGCTATTAAAACATTCCTCATCAACCAACATATTTAAAAGAGGAATGATTATTTCAGAGTTCAAATGTATCAGGTTTTAGAACAGCTGGAATCCTAATTAAAATTTGCAATAGCTATGCAAAGCAAAAGAGGATAAAAAGTTATGATTTTCTTGATTCTTAATGAAAATCAGTGAATATTATCAAAAAGTTTATCTTTTAAAACACTGAATTATCTGATCATGGAGGATGCTTACTTATGTCTTCCTAAATAAAAATCAAATTGTTTATCGTACAATATTAAATAAGATATTTCATCTTTACTATTACCATAAATACTATTTAATTTAAAATGTTTGTCACTGATGTTTATTCATATTGGAGATACATAAAACTGTTCTTTCTCTGTTGCACTTCTGTCAGGCATTCTGGATAAATATGCTTATTGAATCCAAGAGCTTGACTGTAGATTATTCTCAATTTTCACCTGCTATCAATAATTACTTTCTAATTCCAACGTAGTTGATTTCTTTGCTTGCCCTCTTGTACAGCTGGACCTTTAAACAGTACAACTTTTAAACAGTACAAGCTAAAGAATAAAATCCTTTAAAATACTTTATTTCAGAAACATTTCAATTATTTATGCAACTTGTTTAATAGATCTTTATGTTCCTGAAACATTTACTAATGTATATTTCTAGATATATGATTATTTAATGTGAAATTTCAAGTTTAATTGGCAAACAACGTTCCTGAAATCGTCTCATAGTTTTCAGGTCTAATATTAATTAGTGGCATCACTTTTAAAATATTGGATCTTGGTGACTGAGCCTTTCATTGTTTTCTTTGACAAGCTTCACAAGGAAATTTTCTTTTGTCTGTCCATTTTGTTTCAATTCCCTACTTTTCTTATTTCTGCTATTTAATATTATCCTTTCTTGCTTAGTATTGTCTTGTTGGCTTTGTTAGGATCTATACACTGATTTGGATGATTATATCATAAAGTATTCAGAATCTCTCCCACTATATAAATTTCACTCTAATTTTGCTTTAGCAAGCAAAATTCTCTTTTTAGGAAATAATGAAGTATTTGAAACATTGTAATTTTAAATAATCATGTTGGGAAAGGAAGGAAAAACACATGATTTCAATTCAATAAACAAGAAAATCTATATGATAAAATTCAGAATGCTATTATGGTAAAGATGCTTATTAAAGTAGAAATGCGTATTATATATTAACCAAAATAGTTATCTGCCAAACGAAAAAAACGAAAAAAAATACACATGCGGGAAGTGAAATGAAACAATTTTGGGTATAAGGCAGAGAAGAATAGTTGAAAGGCTGCTGTAACTCAGTTCCTCAAAGAATGGGATGGAAAGAAAGGCAGGGAACAAAGGGTCTCCCTTGATTACAAGCAGTAGGGAAATTAAAACCCTGGGTCACTCTGGGGTCCTTTATTAAGGCAACATCAGGGCTGGGCAAAGTCCCTGGCTTCCACACAGTGTTAGAAATTCTAACAAAGGAAGACATCTGAAAGGCACTAACTACCCTAAGGTCAGACGAGTTCTCTTCCAATGCCTTGCTACTGAAAAGCATAGCTAACTTAATCCTTCAAGTATTTGAAGAAAATAGAGACCCGCCGAAATCCGTCATGTCTACAGGAGGCGGAGCAGAAAAACTTCAGCGAGACACTGCCGGTTTCTTTTTAAAAGTAGTCAGTCATTGACAAGTGACAGAATAAATAGAGGAGAGATTTATAATATTCATTCGTGTTTTAAAAAAATAGGAGACTTTTTATAAAAGCAGATTTGAAAGCATGGATTTTGGTTTTCTCAACACGTGAGAAAATTAAATAAAGCGTGCACGAAGGAAGCTGAAAGCGATTCAAACATCAATCTTGAGACAAAAGGGTATGTTAAGAGGGGAAGAGGGGCTGCAGAATAGGAGCGGAGAGCCGGCAGAACCCCAACAGGGAATCTTAAGCGGATACCGGCGCTAAAAAAACATGTCGGAATACACTTCCGCTAAAGCTCCAGCAAGTGGTGTCTCAACAGGAAGTGTCCACTGCTGGGTAGGAACCAATATTCACAGGGAACCGGGAGCAGGTGGGAAGACAAAAAGAGGTGCACTTCTCTCCGAGAAGACGCCGAAAATTTTTCCAGCTCGAGCTCCGGGATTCAAGCCCCAAAAAGACACTATAAAAGACAGTTTCTGGTACTTGCAGGGGCAAGAAATAAACATGGAAGAGTCTGCAGCTCCCTCAAGCGCGTACGCGGCCGCTGGTGCCGAGGCAAGTGCTGAGGCGGGGGAGGGTGTGTCTGGTCCCGGCCTTCCCGGGTCTGAGGCCTCCGGGGAGTCTGCAGCAGTTGGTTCAGTGCCTCCGCAAGAGGCTTTGGGCCTGGCACCGCTCCTTGTGGCTCCTGGCCCAGCGCACCTCCGCACTGCGAGTTTGCGGCCAGCTCAAGCTGCAGGGGGCGGAGCCAGGCCTGGTCCCCTGCCTGAGCGCAACAGCGGCAGCTGGACAAAGCAAATCCTCTGCAGGTACTATCTTCATGGGCAGTGCAAGGAGGGGGAGAACTGTCGCTACTCTCACGACCTCTCTGGGCGGCGGAAGGCCAAGGGGGGGCAAGATTCTCAGCCTAGGGCCTCTGCAGACAGAGGACCCAAGATGGCCGCTGACAGGGAGCCCCCGACTCAGGAAGAGGCGGAAGCCCCCCCTACTGCATCCTCAAGCTCCTTGCCTCTGATTGGCTCAGCTGCTGAATGGGGCTTCTCTGAATCCGAGACTGACAATGCAGGCTTTGCAGACAATGCAGGCTTTGCAGACAATGCAGGCTTTGCAGCTGCAGGTGGAGCGGGTGCAGAAGGATGGGAGGGGGCTATTGAGTTTGTTCCTGGACAGCCCTACCGAGGTCGCATGTTCCCCCCGCAAGGTCCTGAGGCTCCTCCACAGAGCCCAGTGATTGCGAGAGAGCAGATGGCTGTGGGCGTGGGGATGCCGCTTTGCCGCTATGCTGCCAGGGGAGAATGCCTTCGTGGGGAGAGGTGTGCATATCCCCATGGAGATATATGTGACATGTGCGGGCACCAGGTCTTGCACCCTTTGGATGCAGCCCAGCGGGAAGCCCATAGAAGGGCCTGCATTGAAGCACATGAGAGAGATATGGAACTCTCGTTTGCTGTGCAGCGCAGCATGGACAAGGTGTGTGGCATCTGCATGGAGGTTGTCTATGAGAAAGCTGACCCCAGCGACCGCCGCTTTGGCATCCTTTTCAGCTGCAATCACACCTTTTGTCTTAGGTGCATCCGCAGGTGGAGAAGTGCCACACAGTTTGAGAATAGGATCAGTAAGTCCTGCCCACAGTGCAGGGTCTCCTCCGGCTTTGTCATTCCTAGTGAGTTCTGGGTGGAGGAGGAAGAGGAGAAGGAGAAACTTATTCAGCAATATAAGGAGGGAATGAGTAACAAGGACTGCCGGTATTTTGCTGGAGGAAGGGGCCACTGCCCCTTTGGAGAATTCTGTTTTTACAAGCATCAATACCCTGAGGGCTGGGGAGATTATTTTCGAAGGCCAGGTGGTGGTGGATCATCAAGCGCATACTGGCATCAAGTTTTGGAGCCTGTGCAATTGCGAGAGGGAAACTTGCTCTTTAAACGCCGTAAAAAGGAGCTCGCCTTGCTTCGCCTGGCCAGCCAGTTATTTAAGAAGTTTCTTGCCCTGAGAGCTGGTTTTCCCCTCTCTGATGATCAGTTGTTCTCACTTCAGTTCCAGCTGGAAGAATATTTTGATGTGAATCCGTAGCATCATGCTGTGGCCTGTGGTCTAGTCTGCTGAGGTTCTTTTGTCTGCTGTTGCTTATTTACCTTTATTGACTGACAACCTATTGCTTTCAGAGGCTGTTGAGGCAATCTTTATGCAGTATTGCTGTGTTCTCTATTCCTCCTTTCTTCCCAGTAGGATTATGATGCTTCCCTGTGTTACAAAATAACAAAAATCTTAAAAATATTGTTCAGTGGAATTAGTATTTCTGTCAGTTGATTGCTTGTGTCATGTCTGTTTCCAACAGGATTCACTCAATTCTAGTGTTTACAGAATTTCTCATTGTGAAGTCCCATACATGTAATTGTGAAGAAGTGACAGAAGTCTTTAACTGAATTATGAGCTTTTTGCTATATAGCCTTAAGAAATGGACCCTTGCAGGGCCTTGCAGCTGCTGTCTGTGTTTGTTTACATGTGTTTCTTCCCTCCTCTTTCAAGTGCACTTGTTAAATTGTGGTTACTTTGTGATTCTGTTTTACTTGACCAAAATGAGGTGCATATGTTTACATGTTTTTATCCTGTTCAGCTTGATGTGAATTATTTATATTTGGAAATATATATTTAAGAATGATATATAATATATGCATATATGTATTCAAAGATATGTATTTGAAAAAATATGGAAACAAATATTCACCATAATCTATATGTTTAAAGTAGTGAAATAAATGCAGACCTGAAAGCTGAAAGTGAAAGGCTAGGTGTATGGGCTATTGTGTGAATTGTGTGGACACTTTTACCTGCCCCTGCACAGCAGTCAGGGATCAGCATTTAACAAAATTACTGTCAACATTCAGCTCTGTGTATCAGATGCAGATCCTAAGGAACTTACAAAACACAACTTTGAGAATTCCTGTGATAGCATTCAGAGCTGCTCTGCTTCTCTAAGCACAGCCTATGCCTATGCAGTGTAGTCACCATCTCAGTTGTCTTGACAGTGGCTATTCCTGGACTTGAATTCACAATTCTTTGCATTTGGTATTTTTTTAATATCTAGATATTTTTAGATATAAAATAGAACTTTTGACAGAAGTTTTCAGAATAAAAGTAACAAGATTACAAAAGGGAAGCCAATACAAATATTGAAATAAATCAGAATACAAGAATGGAAAGATGAAAGAGTGAAGCATAGAACCTTTTAAAAGTTAAACAATAACATTGGAAAGTTAAAATACAGATATGCTACAGTTAACCAAACGAAACTTAAAAATTATAAATGAAAGGTTATCGTGTTTCCCTGAAATGAAATTATTTTGTTTAAAATACACAGCACACCTACAGTATAAAATTAAAAAGAAATCAATAAAAGAGTCTGGGAAATTTAAACAGGTGCTGTTACTACAGTAGATCAAGTTTATATTAAACATTGCTGGAGAAGAGGAACATAAACAGCTTGTGGTTGAGTATAAAATTATTAAATATAATTTACCAGGAATATGTAACTTCACATTTAGTGCTCATTTAACATTGCACAAATTCAGCAAATAAATTGCTAATTATAGAAAATCAGTAAGTCAGGTGCTTAGTGTGCATTTAGAAATAGTTTCTATGTGGACAGTTTACATCCTTTATTATCTGAACAAGTGTGTTACAGAGTAGATAGGGCAAATTTAATCACATAATTTTATAGAATGGTTTATGCATCACTTACAAAGTGCATTTTCCTTGGTTGCAGTGGTTGAAGAATATGCTAGGTTCTTTAGTCCTAGGATGTAGAGACTGTTCTGTGTAACAGAGCTAGCACATTTACCATATTTATACCATGCATTAAGCAGACTTTAAAATATTGGTTTAATTGTCAGAACTACCTTATATATTCTTATATATTACTTTATCATTTTTTCCATCCAAATGTAGTAAGGTAGAAGTTTTGAACTCCAGTGTTATCCATAGTTATCAATTATAAAGCAAAGAAATAGTTCAAGTAATACTTTTACTGAACAGATTGCTCTGATGCCTGTATTCCCTATATATGACTCAGAAAATGTGTTTTTGCAAATACTGAAACTGAAGGTGCATGTGAACCTTTTAAGTATGGATGGCCCCCCCAGAAGCAATGGAGGCGTACATAAGCAAGCTCCCATAGAATTTGTTGTATTGGAGCTTTTATAGATAAGTTGCCAGATTCAGTGTCACTCAGTACAGTGTTCACAGTGCAATTTATCCTGTCTGATTTTATGATGTCTCTCCCTTCCAAAGTGATTACTAGTTCTCTGTAAGGGGTTAGCCTGTGGGGTTTGCCTTAATGCTTCCTTCTTTATTCCAAATAAGTCACCAGTCAGGAAGCCCTAAACAACTGTCCATTTTTTCCATCCATATCAGGAAGAAATAAAAGGTCAGATAAACCAACGAAAGAAATGGGGCCAGATGGCGTCTTTTCACAGAATGCTGATAGGCAAGTCTCAAAGGAGCTCTCATATTGGCTAAGATGGGAGGGGATTTAACCTGCACTTTGAAACCTCAGGAAACTATGAACCCACACTGTGCAAACCTCATGAAATAAGTTTTTTTTTTTTTCAAGTAGTATCTTGAAACAAGAAGTTAGAATAGAATTGAGGAGATAAAAATGGGGTAAGGTCTTATAGAAAAGTAACAGATTGAGGGTAATTATTGTCCTGATTCTGCATATAATCCAAGCGAGTACTTAGGTACTCTACCTCAGTTTCTAAGTAGGAGAAATGGGTGCAGTGCTCTCGTTCGTGCAGGATTGTTGTGATGACCAAATGTAGTCTTAGGGAAAAAGCTAGCAACATGGTATTTTTAAATGGTATGTACAGGTGGAATTTGCATGCTTATCAACCCCAGCAGCAATTATGTAAGAATTATGTAAGAATGGGTATACTACCAGAGTTTTCTTTTTATTAATCTTTGGAAGTTGTCATAAGGTAAATTTATTTTAGGAATGTTTGTAGGATGGGATATAATACCTACTATTCTTTCATTAATATTTCAATGGACTATTTTTTTTCAGCAAATCCATACAGTTTAATCTAAACAGTTCAATTACTTAATAAGCCCCAAACAGCAAAAGAAACAATTAATACTTGTGGCAGATACATGTGGGGAAAATAAGATGATTTTTTAAAATAAGGATTCCTTATTCTTTCACCACTTCCTTTAAAAAGAGCTTAAATAAGAAAACCAAGTGCTTTTTCCCAGCTACTTTCTCAAGAGAGCAGCAGGTCCAGACTTGCTGCGATTAGGAACAAAGACCCCTTGCCACACAAAGGTTTGCTTTGTGAGGGATTCTAAGCATGGCGCCCCTCGCCCCCTCACAAAGACTTGGGCACTCCATACATAATATATCTTTCCAGCAGCAGCATAGGGTCTGGTGAAACAGTTTTGATTTGCTTATGCGTCCTGTGTCTAAATTTAGTGGATGTACATACGTACAAACATACTGGAGAAAATATAGCTAGTAATCACACTCACTAGTGACACAGAAACTACATTTTTTCACAGCTCATGTTACTAAATAAATAATTTACACATTTTTTTCAGAAATAAAAGGAAAATGCCTTGATTCCACAGCCAATGAATTTATGAGCTTCTCATTGTACTTTTGTAAATATCATAGGGGTGTGGTTTTTCCTCCACAGCTTATGCCAAACTACACCTGGATGAAGTTGGGGTTGAGTAAAAAGATTATTTGGGAAATAACCCATAAGCAAATTGTCATGTCAGAATTTTTGCCATGAAAGTGTATAGCATATCACACCTTGCAGAATTGATGAGGCACTGACTAAAATAATTGATCCTGTGCTAGATCACAGTGAAACTGTCAGCTAAATTGGGATTTAGGAGTCTTTCTCATCAATAATGGTGCAGAGCTAAATGTGGTGCTTAAAATAACATATTAGAATGAAAAGGAAGATTTAAGCAATGTTCTAGGAAAATAGAGATGATAGAATAAGAGAAAATATTTTCTTACATCAGAGGAAAGACCAAAAAAATCAAAATCAGTGTGATTATATAAAATGCATGTAATAAAGATATGTGATACAGATATGTGTAAATAGAGATTTCTTTGACTTCTAAATTTTGTTAAATGAACATAAAACCACATAACTAAGGAGAGTATAGAATTGCAACAAAAACTAGAGGGAAATTAAAGTATTAAATATGAAGGCTGAATCAAAATAATTTATTAAAGCCTTAATCATTGTAGATCTTTACCAACAAAATGAGGAACAAAAAGAAACTACACACACAAAAATAGCATACAAAAAGAAATATTTATGAGAACAAAAGTGTTAAATATGCATAAGGAAACACATTGTCTGATCTGAAGACAATGGAAAAACCTGCACTTACTAATCACTGGCCACAAAAAGGTACACTTTCTACCAAAGCAAAATAAAGAAATTAATTTTCCACAATTTTGCTTAAAGCTATTCATAAAATCTTCAAAGAAGAAATTTCTTTAGTGCTATTTAACAATCCAAAAATTAGGGATTACAAGTACCAACTTCATCTGTAGTTGTAGATGGCAATTTTAGACCAAGCTATATCCAATTTTATATCAAATACAACAGTGAGGTTCACACATATACACATTAGTACTCAAACTTACGAATTTTATTGTAAAAGTAGTGAAAGCCAAAGTAAAATACTTGAGCATTTCTATCCCTTTGACGAGTCACTGGTAATCATAGTCATCTGTTCTGATCAGGCACAAATGAGTTCCCTCTTTACTCTCAGTTACCGTTATCTGGAGCAGTCTGTGCAAATGCATCAAAGGAAAAATAAAGGCACAAGTGAGATATCTTTGAAGAGTAGCAGATGAGACATTGCATGTTAAAAATTCAGAATCATATAGAAAATTATTTTAAAAAAACAGGTGCTAAGAGAATCAACACAATTTCTATTGTAAAGCAAAAAAAAAGAGATAAAATGTAAGCCATTTTTGGCAACATAGTTCAGAAATATTAATGCATAAATGCTACGAAAAGAACATTTTGCTAAATCTTAAAGACCACTTGATGAATGAAGCTGTATGACACAAAATTTGGAAGGGAACTTATGTATTACCAGTGTGCCATTTACTAGTGTTTGATAATATTGAAATGAAGTACAAATGGTCATTTATAACTAAAAAAGAAACTCAGGAAGTTTTATTTTACAGAAAACATAGCCAGTACACACTGAGTATTTTAGAATAGGAAAATAAAACCAGACTTGTTGGGAAAAACTTGTAATCCTAACATTTTGGAGGAAGAAGCAGCAAGCAAGATTATTAATTTGAGATCTTCCTAGAGTACATAGCAAGTTGTTTAATGCCAGAACACACCTGGACATCACAGAGTGCACATACTGGTCTTAGCTACCCAGCAAAAGGATTGCTTAACAAGGGGGAGTCAGTGAGTGAACTATGACATATCATAAACATAATACTATGTATACCTAGTGTGTGCAGGGAAATGGTGGCAATTCAGTTTCTATATTTAAATGTGTATATTGTGTTTTTAAGTACACACATGTGTATCCACTCGTGTGTGTGTGTGTGTGTGTGTGTGTGAGAGAGAGAGAGAGAGAGAGAGGAGAGA